TATTGTTAATATTTCCACAAAGTTCCAGATGTCCATCTGCTGCTGACTTTGACTAGACCTCAGTAAATACTCAATAGTGTGGATGAGGAAAGAAGTGAGATGCTGAAGCAGGAGGCAGAGCTGAAGACATCGTTGCTGTGGCTCTGGGCATATAATTTTGTTTAATCTTCAGGTTAGGCCAAGGGAATCAGAAGGTTGCTTGTTCAAATGATTGCAGCCTATGCGTGGTACATTCTATCTATATTCTATCTATATATGGGGTATATGGGATATTCTAGCTGTACTTTATCTTGGTGTGTCCTATACTTTTACTCTCTCATGCTCTGCCCTCTTTTTATTCAGAATTTTAGAAGAGAAGTCAAGTTGGCCACAGAGTCAGGGAGGGACATTATATGTATATTGTGGAATTGCGTATAATGTGGCAGAAGCCCCATTTTACTCAAATTTTAGGGACATTCACATCCTTATCCTCTGCTATGCCAAATATCAAGTAGATTTCAAGTTGGATGTTTAAACAACCAATGACTATTGACAGATTTCATCTATTACCAACCATTGAGGGGTTGAAGTTGAAAAAGTCTTGGAAATAAAACTATATTTGTAATTTATTCAGTAATTACCATGTATCAAATGCTGTGATGGAAAGTTGACCCAAATTATGTCTTTTAATCCTTGCAATAGCTCTCTCAGGATCAGTAAAACAAAGTGGGTAAGAGCACTGATCTGGAATCAAAGTGCTGAGTTCATATGCTCACTTGATGTGACCTGACTTCAGGCTCCTAAATCATTCATTCATTGATTAAACAAATACATATTGCCACATTCTATGAACCACTCATTCTTCTAGACATTGGGCATTCAATAGTGAGCAAAGTAGGCTAGATTCCTCACAGAGCTTAGGGTCTACTGGGGGAATCCAAATGGTGATAAAATAAACAAATGGTAAACAAACAAACATATAAAATGTTAGGTGGTGGCAAGCGCTCTTAAGAAAAGTAAATCAGAATAATTTGGATGGAGAAAAATGGAGGAGAGTGCTGTTTCTGCTAAATGGTCAGGAAGTCCTTTCTGAGAAGAAAGATGCCCCTTGAGCAGAGATTGAAAGAAAGTATGGACAGAAGTGTGTATATATCTGGGGGAGGAAATTTTAGAGAGAGTGAAGAAAAAGTACCAAGGCCGTATGGAAGGAGCTTGCTTGGCATGTTCCAAGAGAGAAAGGAAGGCAGTGTGGCTAGAAAAGAATGAGCCAGGCAGGGCTTGATAAGAGCTAAGCCCAGAGAAACAAGAGGTGAAATATGGAGACCAGATAGGGGGTTGTTACAATAATTTAGATAAGAGAAGACAGTAGCTTTGACTACTGTGGTAAGAAGTGGTAGGATTCTCGGTGTATTTTGAAGGTTCAGTTATTTGAATTTGTTGATGGATTAGAGTGGCATGTAAGAAAAAGGAGTGAAGAATGACTCTAAGGTTTTTTCACATGGAAGAATGGAGTTGCCATTTACTCAGTTGGAGGAAACTGGAGTTAGAGCATATGTGAAGAGCACATAAATAATTCTGTTTTGACCATGACAGAATTTGAGATGCTATCAAATATTCCAGTGGAAATAGTGAGTGAACAGTTGAATACACAGAGTTTGGAGTAGTGGTTGAGTTCTTGTCAGTGTTCAGTAGTATTTAAAGCCACAGTACCAGGATGCCGGTCACCAGGGAAACACTATGTTCCCTCCATATTCTCCCCAGAGTTACTCACGTGATAGTATCTTGACTGTTTTAGAGTCTATATTAATGTTTTCAATTTTAATAAAAGTTCAGGAGGTTTGTTAATAGGAAAAAAAGGTCTGTTTAAACATTATCCCCAGAAATGTATCCAATAATATATTACTCCTCCACCATTCTACGTCTCAATCAGAAGGGTTGATTTAACTTAAAAATATTTAACTTATAGACCAAAAGGATTAAGTATTATCAACAAAATAGATGTATTTCTGTGCAGGTATTTTTGGCATATATTTCTGTTCTTCAGATCTACCCTGTTATATGATGAATTATTTCTTTTTCTTATATTTTTCAATATTCCCTTTGCTTATTTTCTAATGCTCCTTACTTTTGCCTGTGACTCTTTTATTTTTTTTGTGTAATACTTCACTTTGCACTTTCTCTTCAACTTTCTTTAGTGTTCTATCCAAGCCCCACTAGGCTATCAAATATTTTCATGCCCTTAACACTTCCTTCTCTGTCTTCTTTTCTGTTCAGTTTTGACCCTCAGCAACTGGTGACATTTAGCTTGGAGAAGGACAGGAGAAAGCTGTGACTTAAATGCTATCAATTCATTCCACAAGCACTTGTGGAATAAGGTTCTTAGTATAATGTAAATTTAAGCTAGATATCATTAATTCACTGTCTTTTTGAAGATTCAAGTCAAGTTGGGAAAACATAATGTTCCCAGATGAAAAACAAATTAGAGGAAAACTACGTGGCAATGTAGAATTAATGGCAAAATTTTGTAGCAACATCATACACACATGTATTGAGGTGCAATTGAATAGTTGAGTACTGCAGTGGGATATTGTTTATCTAACAAAGGTTTACATGATCTTAATATATTTTCCATTACCTTAAGTTATGGTAAGGCATAAAGGTGTGATGTGGAAAACATTTCACAACAGGTGAGGCAGGGGCATTAAGCAGTCAGACTTACACTGTGTATCATTTGTGAAATGGAAATTAAAACCATCATGAGATACCACTGTGCACCTATTAGAATGCCTGTTTTTAAAAAGTGCTATTGGGGATGTGAAACAACTGAGATTCTCATATATTGCTGGTGCAGATGCAAAATTGTAGAGTTACTATGGAAAACAGTTTGGCAGTTCCTCGTAAAGTTAAGCCTACCTTTACTACACAGTCTGGCAATTTTAATCTTAGATATTTACCTAAGAGAAATGAAAACTTATATTCACATAAATACTTGTAAGTGAAAGTTTATAGTGGCTTTATTCATAATTGCCCCGCACTGTAAAAATCAAAGTGTCCTTCAACTGGACAAACTCTGTTGCATCCATACAACGAAATATCATAAAGAAGAAGGAGAGAGCTACTGATACATATAGCCGCCTGGATGAATCTCAATGCATTGTGCTTAGTGAAAGAAGCCAAATTCGAAAGACTGCCTTATAATACGTGATGATTCTGTTATGACATTCTGGGAAGGTGAAAGTATGGGCACAAAAAACATATCAGAATTGCCAGGGGCTTTGGGTGTGGTGAGGGATCGACCAAAAACAGGCATGAGGAAATTCAAGGGGTGATGAAACTGTTTATATTTTGATTTTGGTGGTGGTTACATGACTATATGTGTTTGTTAAGATTTATAGACTTATACAATAAAAAAGGTAAATTTTACTGTACTTTAAATTATACCTCAATAAACCTGATTTTAAAAAAGAAAAAGAAAACAATCTGTTTTCTGAATATGATAATGAGGTGTTTTGGAGTTGAGTTTGAGTTTGAAAAGTTCATCAGGGAGGAATAATACCTCCTGTACCCTAGAATTAATTCTATTTTATTTTATCATAAAAAAGTTGTTTTTCAATCACATAGAGACAGAGATTGGATTGGTGGTTACCAGAGGGGAAAGGGGGAGGGTGGAGGGCAAAAGAGGTTTTTAGGCATGTGTGTGTGGTGATGGATTATAATTAATCTTTGGGTGGTGAACATGATGTAATCTACACAGAAATCGAAATATAATGATGTACACCTGAAGTTTATATAATGTTGTAAATCATGTTACCACAATAAAAAAAATTTTTTTTAAAGTTGTTTTTATTTGATTGAGTATGTAGTTTTAGGAGGAATTCACCACAGTAGGGAGGGAAGACGAGGGCACCTACCTATATATACTGATATTCCTGATGATAAGAGTGTGTAGGTTAAGCAACGGTAAAAGCTATACCATGTACTGATTATCTCCCTCATGTAAAGTGTTTCATATACTATATTTATTATTTTACAAGAGTCCTGTAAGATGGATACCATTATTATCATCTCTAGTTTACTGATCTGAGAAGTTTCAGAGAATTTAAGTATTTTGCTTAGAACACGGATGAGCCAGGATTCAAACAGATCTTTTTGACTCCACAGTTTATATTCTTTCTCTGACACCATCCTGTCTCCTAAATCACACCCATCAATGTCCTCACAAAGACAGAATAGTCTAAGTTTGAATTACTTTATATTTTAGCTAAAGTTATTAAATACTGAATTTCTCTTCTGGAAAACTGAGGCTGCTCCATGAAATGTTGAGCACTTATCCAGCCATTCCAGGCAGGCACAATTTGATTCTGGATTAATTCCCCACAAGTCCCCCTTTGCACCTATGCTCAGAATGATACTTTTTTGGTGGGATCTTTGCCAGCCCTTCCAGATCTCTTCCAAGATGTTAGTATCTGGAAAGTGGAAAAAAAAATTTGTGCAACCCAGGATAATTATATAGTTATTCAGATATACTTGTTACACACTCTGAGTCCTTTAAACGCTCTATGACCTCTAAATAACTATAAATTCTTTAAAGACAAAAGCTATCTCTTATAGTTTCTGGTATACTTTATAACATCAATTCTACAACCCTCCACTTAGAAGATGTTTGATAAACATTTTTTGAGCAAAAAAAGAATAAATGAATGAATGAAAATGACAATAGAGAATAGAGATAAAAAACTTTGGAGAGGATAGGGGCCTGTATCCAAGTCCTAGCTATTCCATTTACTATTTGATTGATTTTGGATTAATTATTTACCTAAGACTCACTTTTCTCTACTATAAGATGAGGATAATAATAGCATCTATCAATTGTTAGTTGTTAGGATTAAACGAGAAAAAGTATGTAATGTGTTTAGCATGGTTGCAAACATGGTAAGTATTACTAATAATATTAGTAGGTATTATTCTGCTGCTTCATTTTAGTAAAAATTATAAATTAATAATAATATTTAGATGCCTCCCCAAATTTTATTTATTCTTTTAGTTCTTCTAATTCCTGACACTCGTGCATGATTTAGAGAATGTGATTCTATGACGAGAATGACTTAGTCCACTTTCCCTTGAGTTGAAAGAGCAGGTGGTTGTAGGGGAAAGAAGTTGGGGTGGCAGCTCTGGGTTTTTCATACATCTCCGTATCCACATCTCCTACCGTCACTTTATGTAGTGGGAGTCATCTGAAAAAGGATTATTTTGATATAATAACAATATTGAAAGCCCTATAAAATAGTTAACAGGAAAATTATTCTCAGTTATCCTAAGGTTAATGATTGATGGCTCCAAATATGGCTCAAGCATAAGCTGAATCAACCTCTAGATTTATGCCTATTAAATTAGTGTTAGAGGAGTGGGTCTATCAGGAACTAATTTTCCAGAGAGCTTGAAGAGCCTCTTAAGGACAGAACTTGTCCTGATGGAAGGGAAAGCCAGCCAGCCAGCTTTTGCCAGACACAAGTCCTTTGTGTCCAGAAGGAGAGACTGTCTCTGAGTAAGCATTTAAATGTCCTTTGGATTTGCCTTTCAGTTTAATCAGCAAGTCTGAGTCCTTCTGAGGAAACAGGGATAAAGGCAGAGTGGCTGTAATTAACAATGGAAAGAATTACTTCATGCAAAGTGAAATTATTTCAAGCTTCACTGCATTGAAGACGAGACAATTCAGTTTCGTTTTGTGTCCTCCAAATCTTTAGCAAATCAGTAGCAGTTAGGCTGCTAGATAGAGGTGGCAGGCTGTGGCTGATGGAGACTAGAGATGAGCAAAGTGCTGAATGTGCCACATGCTGAATGAGAGGGCATGCTCTGGGACACACAGCAGAAGTTCTCTTGGGACTCCATTCTTAAGGAAGGGGACATTTTCTCAAGGGACTAAGAAAGTATAAACAAAATACAAATTCACACATTACGTTAAGAGTTTTATTTAAGAGGATGGCAGCTACCTGTGAGCTATCATTATATGAAAATAGGACACTACCTGTTAGTCTTTGGGTGAACAAACCTTCTGAGGTGCCCTAGTTTTCATCTCCCTTTTAAACAATGAATGTTTTCCTCGTTGTCAGAGTGATTTCTATTTTTATGGAACAAAGAGTAACTTAGCCCACACAAATTGGGACTTTGGCCATTTTGCACTTCAACCAGCTCTGCTAACTGGTCACAGCTAGGGCAGCAACCAAGCCAATAAAATAAAAATACTTGAAAGTTGTGGTTAGAAATTGTAGTGATCCTATATAGTTGGGTGGCCATTCAGTCTGTACAGGAAAGGCAAGGAGACAAAATATTGGTGAAAAAAGCCTAAAGCAAGTAATTAGTAGCAGGGGGAAGCAATTGCACATTTAGATTATTACACTTCACTTTGTGTTGGTATCAGCTTCTGAATATTTCAGCAGCGTACATTTACATACCCACTGAGGATTGCTGAGTAGAAATTACCCTTTGTTCTCAGGCATAGAATTCAGTGGGGTTACAAGTTATATCTAGACTTTGGCCCCTTCAAATAGAAAGAGCTTTGTGATGATATGTTGAATGATATGCAATCTTCACTTTTGTTAAGTAAAACCACAGGATTTTCCTACAGAATCATTTGTAAGTGTCCACATCATGAGAGTCAAAAATTTGTCTATTGTGAAGATGCTCTCTGGTGAGACTAGTTGTGAAATGTAATTTGTGGCACTTGCATTTTAATACTTGTCACACTCATCTCTCCCAGTTCTTTTCCAGTACTATGACTTTAACTCAGAGATGATAAGTGTCCCTCCCAAGGTCACACAGTTAGTTGAGGAACAGCAACCCAGGTCTGCTTTAGCCTGCTACACTGTCTCACTCCTCAGGCCTGGGCAGGCAATGACTTGCTAAGGGCTAGCAAATGAAGTTCAGGTGTCTAAAGGCAAGTTGTTCTTAGGTGACTAAATGAGTATTAAACACAGAGTATGTGATCTGCTAAGAACCATCTAGGCCTTGCACACCGTTGTTTGGATAGAAAAAAATTAGAAAGCAAGTATTAAACTTCATACACAGATACTAAATAAAACTGAGTTGATAAAGAATGGAAAGACTGAATAGAGAGGGAAAATATTCCCCCAAAGAACTTTCTAAATCACGAAAGTGTCTTTTTCAAGCTATGTTCTTATCTCTTTCCACCCTTGCTCCACAGTCTCCTCAAAGACCCTCTGCCAGGCAATTTCAGATGTATTATAAACATACTCTTGTGAACAAGGGCAATAATTCTCCTCGATGCGGGGCCCTGCTGCTGATGACAATCAGCCCCAGGTAGCCTTTCACTTACCAATCGCTGTTGGCTCCAAAATAAGTTTTGAAAAAAGTGAATCGGAGCTTAGGATCGAAATGATAAGTAAAATGAAGGAATGCTTGTGTTTTCACAGCTTGTGTTTTTGAGGTGGTCAAAAGTCACTGAGCTGACCCACCCCCGAGAGCCCTCATCATTGCATTCATCTATTAACAACCATTCCTGTTTGAGTTCAGGCTGCTGACCTTTTCTCTAGTGTCATGTTTGAAGATTAGCCTTGTAGTCAGGCTAATAGCAATTCTTCCAAAATAAACCACAACCTATATTTCCCTGTTTTTCTGTTTTAAAGTTTTGGCTAGTTTATTAAAGTTTTGACATCTGGAAGCAAGGCATACCTTCAACTTCACATTGGAAGCACCTATTAAATGAACACAGTAGGGACATTATGACTTTTTAGAGAAGATGTGAGTTGGAAGAAAGATTTTCCCCTGGATGAAGATTGTTTTGATCATTGATGAACTTAGCTGGTCACTAGTAGTCAAGGATAGTAAAGACATCAGGCTGATACCAGATTAAGTTTAAAAAAATAAATAAAGCCACCTGCTATCAGGTCAGTATAGCTAGAATTTACTTAAGAAATTTTGGTTGACTCTTTACTCAGTGCACTGAACCATTACTACGTGTAATACACTAGACTCTGGACTGTGCTAGACTATTCTTGCCTTTCAGAAATTTTCATTCCTGTTGGTAAAAATTATGAGGGCAGAGAGAACTACAATATAGAACAGTGGGAACAACAAATGAGTTGGACGTGTAACGAAGAATGTAGAGAAGAAAGAAGCCATTTTGGCTTGGGTGATAAGTGACATTTCCTAGAGGGGTGGCATAGAATAGGATTTACATTTCAATGAGTGCAGATTGTCATTTTAAAACAGTTAGTAAACAGTTCTGTTTTGTGTGCCCAATATGTTCAAAGATATATACCAGATGCTGTGCATGACCACAAAGATAAATATTGAAGTTTAGGAAACACTTCTCTGAAAGCAGAGAATTATAGAGGAATACCTAAATGTGCTTGGCGGAGTCAGTGAAAGTTTCAAAGCAAATGTTTGTGCTGAGTCCTGAAAGGTTGGTAGGCCTTCAACAAATGGGCAAGGATGCAATGCCATTTTAAGCCACCTTGACATCAAATATAAGACTAAGTTCATGAACTAAACATATGCCCAGGAGAAACTTAGATATTGGATAATCCATTCTCTGGAGGGAAACAAATTAAACCATCTCTTAGTTTCATAGGATTTCTTAGAAGGAGATTTCATAAGTACCCACCCACCCATTCCTGCATTTCTCGGGAATACAGCGTACATACACTTTGTTGAAACGAACACTCACATTTTGGTTCCAAATCTAAAGTTGGATATCCAGTTCCCTTTTAGATTGATTACTTGTGCTGGTAAGTAGTAAAGGTAGGGAATAAAGGATCACCTCCAAAGAAGCTTTTGGTTTGACATACAATCTGGGCTTTTCTGTAGCTGAATGGGGTAGAAATCACATCCTTTTAAAGGCCACTGTTAACATGAGTCTGGATATTCAGAGCCCCTGCTGACGAGCAGCAGTTGGAGAGTGGCTATGTAGAGGGGAAAAGTCAGTTGGTATTAAAGTTTAACTGCATATAATATGTGAAGTAAGCTCACAAATACATTCAAATTTTCAAGCACATTCTCAAAGATCCAAACAAACCCTAACTAGCTGGATTTGAATGTAAGGAGCATTTGGAATATGTAGTTTTGTACTAACCGACAACCCCAAAAGTCTATGTGCTTATCTAAATATGTCCATATAGAGTAGTAAAAGGATACTTATCATTGTTATTATATATTCAGGTGAGACAAACAGCTTTTAGCTGTTGATTGTCAGAGTGTTTTATTGAAAGCTTGTATTCTACTAAAGAAAGCAGGGTCAGTGCTAGGGTAAATTTCTGGCAGATTATTTAAACTTCTGAGAGGGTGAATGCCTTTTAGAAATAATGTGGTTTTTATTAAATAAATCTGTCTAATAATATTAAGGCACTATTTCAATGTTAAGAACAGACAAAGCCAATCTTAGTACTTAGAGGTGGGGGCAGAAGGTTGGGGTCATGGTGGGGAGGGAGTTGGGCACTGGTTAAGGCTGACGTGAGCACAGGAAAAAATGAATAATGAAACCCCCCTTTATTTCTGTATTGGAAGATGGTTTATTTTTGTTTAAATTCCCCTTTGCTTAACTGAATTTTCAACAAAGTGAGGTATAAAATTTGAATATATTTTTAATATGGAATGGAAACAATAGATTTTCTTTAGTGATATGAAAATAAGATCTTTTGTTTTTAATAACATGGTGAAGATTGATAGTCAAAGTTATAAAAGGTAAAAACAAGGGATATTGTTACTATGATTCAGTATGTCACAAAATTCTCATGCAGATTTTGAAATGTTAAAGTAAGTTTATACATGTATTTTCTTAAATTATCATAAGCAAGTGAACAAATTGCTTTTTTAATAGATCTAAAATTCACACTCATGGTGAATCTCAGTAAACCCAGAATTTTTGTGTTTACCTTATTTGATAAAATAAAGTTCTTTATCCCAAGAGAAAACATTTTAAAATCTTATTAATATTATCTCCACAGCACCTTTTTACATTCAGTAGCTCTAGATTAGTAATAGTTTCATAATTTAGCTTTAAACACCGTATTATTGCTGTTGTATGAAACATGTTTTGGGTATGTTTAACTGAAACCAAAACTCTAGGAAATTTTAAGAGCCTTTTGAACTGAAACTATGTGAGATTGGTATTTACATCCGAAAAATGCATGGAAGAACTGTAGTTGTACCCATTAGACATTTGTCATCAAGTTGGTTTTGGTGGGCAGAGGGAGTGTGTTCACTTTTTTGAGGCAAGTTAGACACCAATGCCAAGGGACACCTAGTAGACAGAGATCTCATAATAACTAAGGGAAAATAATAGATAATGAGAACCCCTGGTCACCCGTAGCAAATCCAAAACGTGTTGTTGAATGATGAAATAACACATATGGGGAATTTAGACACTGAAAAGCGACATGTTTTTGTTCTTACAACACTTTGTCCATTTTCTATTAGCAAATTGGTCTTGGAGGAAGGAAGGAAAAAATAAAGGAATAAAAAGGAAAGGAAGAAAAGAAATGCACTGGGGCTGACCCGGTGGCACAGTGGTTACGTGTATACGTTCCACTTCAGTGGCCTGGGGTTTGCCAGTTTGGATCCCAGGTGCAGACATGGCACCGCTTGGCAAGCCATGCTGTGGTAGGCATCCCACATATGAAGTAGAGGTAGATGGGCATGGATGTTAGCTCAGGGCCAGTCTTCCTCAGCAAAAAGAGGAGGATTGGCAGCAGTTAGCTCAGGGCTAATCTTCCTCAAAAAAAAAATTTAAAAAAATAATATAAAAGAAATGCATTGATTCTGGTAGAATTTCTTACATTGAAGGTTTATAATTTCTAAAAACATCTTGGGGTATTCTGAGGAAGGCAACAATATGATTTGACCTTGGACAGATGGATGATTCGTTAATTGTATAACTGCAAGTTGATCTCCATTGCCTCAGGTTATCTCCATTTTATTTCTGTAGTTTTCTCAACATTCCTCACGGTACCTCACTTCTTCTGAGCTAAAAAAGAGAAATAATATTTTTATCTCTTGTTTTAAACTCTGACATGATTTTTTTTTTTGTGATATAACCCCCCACCCTGGAATGACCCTTGACATGGTTGGCGTACCTCTTTATACAGGTAACTCACCTCTCTTTAGGTCATTGCAACATGCTAGGCATTTTATAGTAATAATGTTTTCCATCAGAATATTTAGAATGTTTTTAAGTTACATTATTTATTATTTAATTTTTATTTGCTCTTTTAGTAGGCAGTGAAAGAAATCAAAATATTTTAACTGTGTTAATTTAATCTTTTCTTAACCTTTTGCTTCATTTTTTTCATTTTCTTAATATCTTTTCCTTAAAACAACAACAAGAAAAGAACCTGGCTCTAACTTATGTGTTTCCTTTCTTCCAAAGTGGAACTATGATTCTTGGGTAGCTTGGATTTCCCTTTCTGAATTATCCCTGTCTCTTCTTCACTCTTCCTCCACTCCACATTCAGGCAGTTAACAAGCGCTCTTCTGTTTCATCACTAGTCTCACATCTGCCTTGTTCTTTTCTTTCCACTGTCACTACCCTATAAGAGACCTAGGGATTCTTGAAATGTTTCCTAATGGGTCTTTATAAGTAACTCCAAAAAACTTAGTCAATGAGTTGTTTCAGAATTTGCTATTGAATTGTCCATTGAATCACTGCATATCCTCTATTCCAGTGATTTCTAAATGTAAAAAAAGTTCAATAGTAAGGATTTTTTCATTGTGATTTGGTGCATCTATAATATGCATTTTTATGTATACATCTGTATCTATATTATCTCTGAAAAATCTTCCATGAAATAATGCTTATTCTTACTGCCTGGGATGGGCTCTAATATTTTTTCTACTTTATTCATCTGCATTCTTTTCTAATATACAATCAAGTTTCATTATTAGTAGATTCTGTCTTTGCAAATTTGCCTAACCCGAAAAATTTGTACACCTAAAGTCAATAATCATAGTACATTCATAGTCATTTGTGGACATGTGTATGTGCAGCATGGTGAAAAATTTGAGTCACCAGATAGGCACTTGAGGTCAAACAGGGCGAGATGCACTGCCTTTTTGTTTGAACTTTCATACTGTAAAAGATTTTTGCATTTTTGTGCTTTTTTTTGGTGATTTTTCTGTTTTAAATGGCCCCCAGCATAGTACGGAATCACTGTCTAGTGCTCCTAAGCACAAGAAGGCTGCGATGTGCCTTACTGACAAAATGTGTGTATTAGATAAACTTAGTTCAGGCATGAGTTACAGTGCTGTTGGCTATGAGGTCAATGCTAATGAATCAACAATATGTATTCAATAAGGTGTCTTTAAACAGAAACACACATAAAACAAGGTTATGTATTGATAGGTTTAGGGGAATGTGCCAGAGCCTTGTAGGTATCTAATCTTGTGTTTCTCCGAGAGGTGGTGATATATTATTTGCTGAATCAGTGTTTGTAGGGTTTCTATAGAACATAACCACTGCGAATGACAAAAATCAACTGTATTGTATTTCAATTTAACGAATTCTAGTGAGGACCCAGTGAAGTTATTTCATGGACTGACTTACAATTTGCAAAACACTGCCTCACGTGCATCACTTCTCTTGTAGGTTATCACTAGGAAAAGCTTTGTTTTTCAGGAGAAAATCATAGGTATATTTTCCTTTCTCCGAGAGATTTGTAACTTGCTCCTTTGTACTTTTTACCTTGCCTGCCAGGAAACTTAATGCAGCTTTTATGCTCAGTTACAGCAACAGTATTGATCCTTGATGTTGGAATGCTTGCTTTTCTGTTTTTAGCCCTGGTTTCCTCCTTTTATTTCTACCATATTACTTTTGTTTGATTTATCCTTTTTGTAAAGAGTCTTGAAACCTCTTGGGGAAAAAATGGAAATGAATAAAAGAATTAATGAGTAAGCAAATAATTGAAACAAGTCATCCTGGAAGAAAGATCCAGAGATAAGAGGTTATCTTTTTAGTAGAGACTTTAAAATATAACATTATTATTAAATGCTTTGATGGTGTGTGTTCTCCTTATTAACATAACTTTTAAATGTGTTATATGTTAACTTAAAAATGTTCTTTATAAAGATGAAGTAGAAGAGTTTCCTGAAATGTCAGAATAATTAATTAACGCTTAACAACTTATGATAACAGTGTAAGAAAATTACAAAATGTATGTTAACATGCTCTCTTCTAAGATATCTCTCTCTTCTTTATTGGGTGAATATTCACCAATATATATGAAATCATAAAAAATTCTTGCTATTCCTTAGTAATAACAAAGCAAGTATAGTATGGATAATTAAATCATCAATAGTCAACATCTAGTCATAACCAATAATTTTAATATTTTTACTTAATTTACTCATTGGAGTTGTTCAGCCTTCCTTTCCACATCTCTGGGTCCATCATAAATAATCAAGAGTTGCTGTACCAAATTTCAAACTAAGTGAAAGTTTATGTACCTTCCTCACTTAACCAACTCAAAGTATTTTATGGATTAAGTGATTCAATGAAAAAAATTAATGGATAATAAATTCATTAATCTTAAAATTCTAAGCTTACATTTTGCCACAATTTGTCAAAAAAGTTAAAAAAAATTGTGAGAAGAGTAATAAAGGACACACTTTGTGAGTATATTCTCCTAACATGTATTAATATTACAATTGAGGAAACCTCTATTTTTAAAAATAATTGGCAACGTTCAATATCTGCTACAGGATATTATGTCTCCTAAGAGATACACAATTTAAAAAGGCCTCTCAAAATAATATTTCTATAGTTTATCTCTAGTTTTTTTAAAACAATGGAATTAGATGTTTCTCTGTTTTCACTTACTAAAGAATTGAGAGTATCAAAACTCAACATCTATTTTTAAGCAATATACCCATATTCCACAAAGTATAATCTTCAACGTTGTCAGCAAATTTGGTAAACCTCAGTTTCATGAGTACTTTACATTTATTTATCAGTCCATTAGTAAACAAGTAGTCAAAAGACAAAATACATATATATATTTTACTAGTAAGAGGATGGTTCATCATTTTGTATCAATTCATCTACTTCCATATTTATATTTGTATATAGACAGCCCACCTACAGATCATAAGCATATACTATAAAATGCCTTAAGAATCAAATATGGTAAATTTGAATTGAGAAATTGGAATAGTAATTAATAAGCATTACTTATTACCAGTGAATCTCATTATTTGTGCTAATGGAAAGTATGCCTTGGGTTAATTACCAAGAATAGTTTGTGGTTGATAACAGCAGCTCCTAACCCATTCTTCCAGTAGAAATCTTCTCTAAAAGTGATTCATATAAATAGTTACTCATTTATGTTAATCTGACCATGAGAGCGTCAAACTGAATGATGAATATGTTCTTGTAGTTGACAGTTCTACAAAGGTCTTGTGCCATTATTTTATATTAGAAAAGTCAAATTTTACCATTGTTGGGAAGAGATAAAAAGCTCTTAGACTTTTTGATCATTAAAGACTTGTTAAAGAATGTTAATCAGCAATCCACATTTATATCATTAATATATGACTAATACATCTGAAATATATGAGAGGCAGAACAATGTAGGGATTAAGCACATGGATTCTAGAGCCAGTAGCCTGGGTTCAAGTCCCAGTTCTACCAGTTACTAATCCTGTGACCTTGGACACATAACTTAGCCTCTCTGTGCCTTAGTTTCCTCATTTGCAAAATAGGGATCATTATATGATACATATCTGTCTTACAAGGTTGTTATGAGGAGTAGATTGATTAATATTTATAAAGTGGTCGAAATAGAACCAGGCACATGGGAATCATCATATAAGTGTTTAAGTAAATACGTAACTAGGTGAGATGATTTATAACTCTTCAGATATGAGATGATTATTCCAATGTTGAAAAAAAATATGGCATTTTTAAACTGTGAATGAAACTTAGAGATCATGTAGAAACAGTGGTTTTGATTTTTTAAACAGAATTACCATTCCCCCACTGTTCTTTTTTTTCCGCAAGAAATCATATGGGGAATCTCGAAACAGGTAGCAAATTGATGTTACTGAAATGAGGCAGAAGGCCTAGATCTTTGCCCATGCTACCTTTGGTTACCTCTCTCAGAGGCCTCTGCGTTATGCCGTGGACTCCCGAATTTCTAAAGAGAGAAGTTTAAAAATCCCTTCTTTTGATTACAATAGCATTCTTTTACAGATGAGGTAACTGAGGCTTAGAGTTGGTAAATGGTCCACTTTTAAGGTAACACAGCTTATTAGTCTTCAGCAAACACTATAAACCAAGGATCCTTGTCCATAGCACACTCACCCCCATGGCTCTCTCAAAGTGCCAAATGTTTGGGCCCTTATTGGGCAAGATGAAAACATATTTTACTCTTTAATTTCCAGGTAAGCCCAATGTCTCACTTTAGAGATATATCTTCTGACAATATTCCTATATTTAAATGCCTCTCCCTCCCAATCTATTATTATGGCTCATGTGGAAGGAGAAATAAATTTTAACTTTCTCATTTGCTTGTCAGTTGAGTAGGCTTTCCATGCACAAGCTAACTAAGACTGAGTCAACACAGTTTTAAAATATATTTGAAAGTGAATTTCGCTAATGATAGAGGATGATCCCAGCATCTAGGAAAGGGATGGACATTCAAATTATAGCATATGTCTGCACAACATTTCATGCTGTACAGAATGTCTGCACAAACACACTAGTAGGACTGAAAACATTACAGTTAATGGAAAACAGGCTTCAAGAGGTTGTGGGAATTAATAGAGGTGATAAACAAGAGCCAAGATTTGAGTTCGGTTCAGAGCTAGTTGGACTCAATTTTCATATCATTTTTAAGACTTAAGTCTTAAAATTAAGGCAGAACAATGTAGGGATTAAGCACATGGATTCTAGAGTCAGTATCTTGGGTTCAAGTTCTTGTTCTACCAGTTACTATCCCTGTGACCTTGGACACGTAACTTAACCTCTCTGTG